CCCTTTCTGCACCACAACGCAATGGGGCGTGAAGCTAATACCGCTCTACACCCGCATACGGTACACCATGCTGTTGAATGTGTTCACCAACTGTTATACATGTACATGACCTCACGCCTTTATTGTTAGCTAAGTGCCTGTGTACACTTTCATTAACCGGATCACGTTGATGTAGAGATATTTTTGAAGGGACAAGCAATCCCTCACTGCCGTCTGCACATACTGATTATGGATATGATTTCGTGTTGGCTACTGTGTGGAAAGGGTTTGCTGGTAGACACACCCGTGTGCAGATGCAGTGAAGATCAGGTTGTAATACGTTCCTTGACAGTGTACAGAACATAGGATATTGTCATACACTAGATCTACTCTATTTGTCTGAAACAGCGAGTGCGTTTGATTATGCCCTCGAATCTCAACTAGCGCTATTTACATCACCCCATGTGAATAGGGTGAATGGATTCGGAATCGATTCCAGATTTTCAATCGATTCGGAATCCATTCACCCTATTCCCATGGGGTGATGTTTCATGGACGGATTCATGAATCGATTCGCGGGCATAATCGAACGGATTCATGAACGGATTCATGAATCCATTCGCGAGCATAATCGAACGGATACATGAACGGAACGGATTCATGAATCGATTCGCGGGCATAATCGAAAGCACTCACAGTGAGGTAATCATCTAGTTTAGGGTCCCAAATTATTTCGCACTTTCCCAGTGTTCTGTGTACTTTCTGTGTACTTGAGAGCGTGGTTGAGTGTGTTTCGAAGTTTTGTGTCCTTAGAGTTGGTTCCTTTGACTTTGTGGTAATTGTAATGCGTAGCCGAGTGGTATTAGGTGCAGTGCGTGACTGCGTGTGCGTGTTCATGTGACCACTTTGTTGATCCGGATGATCGAAGCATCCATACCAACAATGTCGAGAATATGTGGATGCGTGCGAAGCGCCAGCTCAAACGCAACTTTGGCACGTCTCGCGAGTTGTTTCCAACCTACCTCTGCGACTTCGTGTGGAGTCAAAGAGTTCGAGAGGAACGAAACACCTTCGGCTCCCTGCTCCGCAGCATTCATCAGCAGTACAGTACAACACAGGCCCTGTCTGATCGGTTCTGATGAAAAAAATCCATATCAACAGCTACTGTGTTTTTGATCTCGATTTGCAAATTTCTGGGGTTGACACGCTCTCACGTACACAGAAAGTACATAGAAAGTACACAGAACACTGGGAAAGTGCGAAATAATTTGGGACCCTAAGGGACCATCGCAAAAGTTCGCAGAAGCCCCTGAAACGAAGAGCATACGTTTGGGGGGGAGGGAGTCGTGTCGAAAATCGCAAACCGGGCTTCAATTCAAAAAAGTATTGACGACATGTAGGAGCTGATATAGATTACCATAACAGCCGGCGTAGATCGCTTGTCAGGCCAGGACGCGTAGTCCATTCATGCAACTTTAGCATGCCATCACAGCCGGCGTAGTCGCGTAGCTGGCTGCCTGTACACTGTGTGTAGTCTAGTACCAAGAGTCCATAAAACGCGTGGTTTATGAATTATGGACTCTTGCTATTACTAGTAGTAGTACTAGTACTAGCAGGGGTTCATAGGGTTTATGAACCCCTGCTGTGTAGTTATTATAATAATTATTATGTGTGCAGCATCCAAGTGAAATAATGAAGCCCATATTGTGACTGTCGTTTCGTTTGAGGGGGGAGGGAGGGGGGTCAGGCCCGAAACTCACGGTCTTCGTTTCGGGGGCTTCTGCGAACTTTTGCGATGGTCCCTAAACTAGATGATTACCGACAGTGAGTCGCTATGTTTGCAAAACAGTATGGATCATCTTCTATGTAAACACTTACCGGAGGACGAGCCACGTGTTGACTCACAGTCTGCCGACATTGGCTTCGCCGGATGGTCAGTATCCCCACTGGCAGTTGCACCGCGGCGCTTCGCCATGGTACTGGCGACATGTTCCGCTACATGAGGCTGGCTGCGTTGAATCAGATTCAGGAGCGTCTCCACCTGTTCGTCCGTTTTCTTCAGCATCAGCCTCACCACATACTCTGCCAGCTTGAACTTGTCCTCCTTGGCAGGTGCGCCAATATATTCCTCTTCGTCCAGAACATCACTCTCCAGTAGATCTTCCAAGATTGTGGACGCATCCAAATTTGCAAATAAGTACTTGATGTTGTATTTCACACTGTCCGGCATTGTGCCATGCAGAGGCGGAGCACAAAGCCTGCCCACAGGGCCACAGCTTGAACCAATCACTCTTGTCTTCCTCTTCCAGAACTGCTTGCCACGACCTCGAAGCTTACGAAATAATGTCCCAACTATTAATTGATCACCTGGCCACCAGAGATTCCCGGAATCCAGATCGATCGAATGCGGAATGGCTCGCTACGCTGACCGAAAATGTCTGAGCAAGAGCAACCCGTAAATCACCATGATCAGCACTGCACTGCACTGCAAACTCTTGCGATCGACGTGTAGCATAAAAGTTAGTTTCGTGGCGGCAGATCATGATGTAGTCTTGTAGATCTACATGAAGATGGCTTTGAAACGTTTGATACCGGCTAGCTCAGTCAGTGCGGTCCGCAAGCGGCAAGGTCTTTGCGGATGGATCTGTCATCGGCATCTGTGCGAGTGCCGGCAGATCTACACCGAGTAGACACGGACGCCGTGAATTTTTAGTACAACTGGACCTACTAGTACTAGTACTAGTACTACATCATGTACTGACTGTCGTGGACATGGAAATCCAGTCGATTGACCGGGGCCGGCACCCTCATCATGCTCAGCGCGTACAGAACGCTGCGTGCAGGGCACATGTTGATCCGGGCCGATGCGACTAGCTATGCGCTAGCGCGCTGCAGCGCATAAATTAATGCATGTGTGTACCGCTTATCCACGGCTGCATTGTCAGTACCCTGGGGCCGCTAGACGTGCAACCGGATTTCCATGTCCACAACAGGACTACTAGTACTGAGCAGGTCTACTACTAGTACACTCAAACGCCTCTTATCCGGACGCCTCAGATACGGGCACGTCTCTCTACCGGGCACCTTCAGCTTGAGTTCCTATAGCACAAATGCATCGAATTTGGGTTTTTTGAACTTTTTTCCGTATGTGGAAGTGCTTATGTTTCACTGCCAACCTACGTAATCCCCACATTTTTATCAATGGGTTCCTTTTGTATCCTCAACATGTGCAATACGTGCCAAATAAACCTCTTCAAAAAATGATATCATACATGCTAGATGAGTTATTCTGAGATACGGGCAAATCTGGGATACGGGCAGTGCCCGGTCCCAAGGTGCCCGGATAAGAGACGTCCGAGTGTACTACTAACGACTAACGACTTACGTTAGTAGTACAGTCATGTATGATGTAGTAATAATATTGGTGCTCCTGGCAATCAGATAGTACCACAAACAAAAATATGACTTTTTTGTGATAAGGTCTGTTTTCTCATCTGACGGCTTGTAGTGTAGTGACTCAGTGCGGCAGGGTCGGGTCTGTCACTCTGTGGTCGAGCGCAGCTTGGTTTGCCTGCGTCACCATGCATGGACCGCAGCGCAAGCTTGACAGTTGACTTCGTATATCTACGTACTAACGTAGCTACGTCCCTGCACTGGTGCTGCGCTGATCGATTCTGTACTACCGCCGAGCCGCTTCATGAACATGGTGCCATTCAGCCATTGCCATTGCATACTGCCCTTTACTTTAGTGTTGGACTGGTGAGGAAGAGAGGGGCCGGGGATGCTCTCGCATTAGGACTCGCATTAGGACTCGCATTAGGACTCGCTACTCGCATTAGGACTCGCATTAGGACTCGCATTAGGACTCGCATTAGGACTCGCATTAGGACTCGCATTAGGACTCGCATTAGGACTCGCATTAGGACTCGCATTAGGACTCGCATTAGGACTCGCATTAGGACTCGCATTAGGACTCGCATTAGGACTCGCATTAGGACTCGCATTAGGACTCGCATTAGGAGTTGAACAAACGAACTACTACTAGTAGTAGTAGTAACTGTTACTTTTAATCTTTGCACCTGTTCATTTTCCTGGTGCAGTGGTGGACTGGGAGTCGTGTCGGTGAAAATCCTGTACTGGACTGAACTGTAACCAACCACCTGACATGCAATGGGCAGGGAATGCAATGGCAGATACAGTCGTCCCTCTCTAATCCGGCACCTTTTGCAATTAAATGGCGTTTTCTGCTGGATAAACAAGGGTGCTGGATTATCAAATCCTGCCCTCCAACCCGGCCCACATGTTTGTGTCGTACGTCAAAATGTAGGGATTTTCTGTGTCAAACCAAGTACTTTGTGGAATGCATGTCTATAACATACACTTGGGAATATCTTATGCACTAGCATAGGATATTCCCAAGTGCATGTTACATGTGTTGTGTATGTTACCATGGTCCCGGACAGTCTGCAATGTACAACTGCTGGATTAGAAAATCGAATATTATGTACAGTATGCATGTGGGCGCAGTCAAACTTTCGGTTCTCGGCCAAATCTTGACCAAATTCAACAAGGGTCTAGATGGTAGAGAAAACTCTCAGTCTCAGCTATCGCCTTGAACTGGTCCGAAGTCTCTGTGATGAAGTTTGGGTGAGCGGCGAGCGATCAAACATTTCGAAATTTTCTGCGCTGCGTGCTGCGAGTCACCAGGTCACCAGTGCGTGAAAAAAAGGGATTTTCCCAGCTTCATGACAGGCGGCACGTGCCAGGACCGGCGCGGCGCGAAGTCACGGCAAGGTAAGCTTCTACTCGAAAAAATTTGAACAGTTCTTCCGAGCTAGATTCAGTGAAATGGCTACACTACAGCCTATACAGGAGACCGATTTCGTCTCAGATCTGGACCTGGACTCGCATTTGGGGCGCGTTGTGGCGGACAATGAACAGTGCTCTTGGAGAGTTTGGGCTCATTGTATTTCTCTCATCAAGAGCTTTCCAACGAGCCCAAGATCTTCAAAATCGGTGAAGTAGAACCAAAGTTATGTTGGAAATGGAGTGCGCATTTTCTTGACTGCCACAAATAATTCTGCGGAAGCAAAAAGTAAGTTAGTTACGGACTCCAAAGGGTTAAAGCGTAAAAAATGAACTGAAAAAATCCGTTTTCCCAGAAAGTGTGCTGGTTTGCAAGGGTGCTGCATAAACAAGTGCCGGATTAGAGAGGGACGACTGTACCAATAATTGCTGTATCTTTTCAAACGAATCCTGATGACAATAATTATTAAATGAGTGATATTTGTGGATACTCGACATCATTCCAGTGCAGTAATACTCAGCAGAGATCTGTATGCAGAACGGCGCACTGCGGCACTGGTTGCTTTGCTTAGTCAGCGGCTGGAACTGGAGACCGTCGATGAGTGAAAGTGCAGACCGTGGCGTCCGCGATCCAAACTTTGGGAGAGTTTAGTCTTTAGAGGTGCATTCCCAGCGTGCTGTGAGCTGCATCAGGGTGGATGGCGCGCACATGGACTCACTCGAGTCACTGCACACTACCTGTGACAGGGACAACGAACACGATCGACTCTGATGTAGACTACTATTCCGACTCCGGTAGGTCTCCAGGCGTACTAAGATCATGAAGTGACTGACGAGAGAATCACCAATACCTTTCAAGCAAACGGTCAACAAATGAATGAAGTGCAATGATGGAAATGGAAGCAAGGAGGTGAAGACCAGACTTTGCTGGACAGCTAGAAGACGTGTTATGGCCAACGCCGTATACGTAGTACAGCCGAGTACTAGTAGTACACTGTCAGTGGCCAGGTGAGATCGGTAGAACAGTTCAGATCAAGACCTTTTAAATTATGACGTTAGAAGTCTACAAATAACTACGACTTCTGGGTGGATCCAGTGGGACTAAAGTGGGACTAAAGCCTTTTCTACTTCCCTCTAGACTTTTAAGGGGAAGTATACCCTAAAATCAAATTTTCACCAGTTGTAGTCTTAGGGGTGCTGAGTCGAATGGTCTTGGTCCGAGGAAGCTGAGACGCTCCCTTCCTACTTGAATCCCAATCGAACTCGCGCACTTCCACCGAAACTGGGTGACTGCGCCCTACTAGATGGGGATTTGTATGCAAAATGTCACTAAAAGCGCCATTTCGTTCTTATAAAAGCATGGATGACCGCGATTGGCCCATATGTTGTAGTCTTTTGGACGCTGAGTCGATTGGTTTGGTCCGAAAAGGCTGCGATGCAGCGTTCCTCCTTTATTCCCAATCGAACATGGTTGAACAAGCGGTCACGTGCTCCTGCGTACGCCAGTCACCTGGTCACCGTGCCTGCAGGGTACAACTTACTAGCCTGTTTGACCTTTTTTTGGGTGCAGTCCTGTCACTCGAGTTGAACTCGAGTTGAACCTTGGTGTGAAAGTTGTCGCCTGCTGGCGTGGTGACCAGGTGATTTGGGCACCCAGGAGCATGTGACCGCTTGTTCAACCATGTTCGATTGGGTATAAAGGAGGAACGCTGCATCGCAGCCTTTTCGGACCAAAACCAGTCGACTCAGCGTCCAAAAGACTACAACATATGGGCCAATCGCGGTCTTCCGTGCTTTTATAAGAACGACATAGCACTTTTAGTGACATTTTGCATACAAATCCCCATCTAGTAGGGCGCAGTCACCCAGTTTCGGTGGAAGTGCGCGGGTTCGATTGGGAAAAAAGAAGGAAGGGAGCGTCGCAGCTTCCTCGGACCAAGACCATTCGACTCAGCACCCCGAAGACTACAACTGGTGAAAATTTGATTTCGGGGTATACTTCCCCTTTAAAAGTAAATGGAAGTAGAATACAATGTATTTTGTGGTCAGGCCCCTTATGTCACAAACACCAAAGTAGGTTCAATATATTACCAGGAGTACTGTAACATAGCTGCAAGAGTGTGCAACTGTCTGTACCACCTCTACCCAGTGATGCGACGGCAGCACTTCGCGTCACGTGACATGGTCCAAAAGGTTACACTGGGAAGCAGTGCAAAGTCACCACAAGGCAGTTGAACCTAAAGCAGGGCTGAGTAACGCCCTGGATCTATAATGCCCTGAGTGCAAATACTTCGAAATAATGTGTACGGGTTTATCACGTGATGAAAGTTGCAGACGCCATAGACTAGAGTATCCCACTCTTGGGTTGGGGGGGTTAAGAACTCTTGCCACTACTCATAAACATGCTACAGTGCTGCTCAGTGAAATCCAGTCGCGGCACTAAGGTTCGCGCCGGGCATTCCGAAGCCCCAGACCTGCAAACACTGGGCTGCAAAATGGTGCCAGACACAAACTCGAGTGACGCGACTGGATTTCCCTGAGCAGCATTGTACGATGCGTTTGGTGTAGATCTTACTGCGGTATACACAGCGTAATGGTATTCTAACTGACCAGATTGTACTGTAGTGTAGACCTTACTGCAGTATACTATGTAGTAGTGGTATTCTAACTGATCAGATTGTACTGTAGTGTAGACCTTACTGCAGTATACTATGTAGTAGTGGTATTCTAACTGACCAGATTGTACTGTAGTGTAGACCTTACTGCAGTATACTATGTAGTAGTGGTATTCTAACTGATCAGATTGTACTGTAGTGTAGACCTTACTGTAGTATACTATGTAGTAGTGGTATTCTAACTGATCAGATTGTCCTGTAGTGTAGAGGTTTAAAACGATTACACCATCAGTTGAGATGTTGCCTTGGCGAATTCGCGGAACGGCTATTCACTAGTAACTCATGCTGTAAAGTGTATACATAGTGCCCATCTGCCGTTTCCCTGCCTAACAGTGTATACATAGTGCCCATCTGCCGTTTCCCTGCCTAACAGTGTACACATAGTGCCCATCTGCCGTTTCCCTGCCTAACAGTGTATACATAGCGCCCATCTGCCGTTTCCCTGCCTAGCAGTGTATACATAGTGCCCATCTGCCGTTTCCCTGCCTAACAGTGTATACATAGTGCCCATCTGCCGTTTCCCTGCCTAACAGTGTACACATAGTGCCCATCGGCCGTTTCCCTGCCTAACAGTGTATACATAGCGCCCATCTGCCGTTTCCCTGCCTAACAGTGTATACATAGTGCCCATCTGCCGTTTCCCTGCCTAGCAGTGTATACATAGCGCCCATCTGCCGTTTCCCTACCTAACAGTGTATGCATAGTGCCCATCTGCCGTTTCCCTGCCTAACAGTGTATACATAGCGCCCATCTGCCGTTTCCCTGCCTAACAGTGTATGCATAGTGCCCATCTGCCGTTTCCCTGCCTAACAGTGTATACATAGTGCCCATCTGCCGTTTCCCTGCCTAGCAGTGTATACATAGTGCCCATCTGCCGTTTCCCTGCCTAACAGTGTACACATAGCGCCCATCTGCCGTTTCCCTGCCTAACAGTGTACACATAGTGCCCATCTGCCGTTTCCCTGCCTAACAGTGTATACATAGCGCCCATCTGCCGTTTCCCTGCCTAGCAGTGTATACATAGCGCCCATCTGCCGTTTCCCTACCTAACAGTGTATGCATAGTGCCCATCTGCCGTTTCCCTGCCTAACAGTGTATACATAGCGCCCATCTGCCGTTTCCCTGCCTAACAGTGTATGCATAGTGCCCATCTGCCGTTCCCTGCCTAACAGTGTACACATAGTGGCCGTAAGCAGTTCTGCTGAGTCACCACCATGACATCATTCACATAACCTCTATTGACTATAGTGGTATTGTCCCTGGCCAGACTATCCTCAGTGTACTATAGTGAATCAAGTTACCCGTGGCACCGGTTTTGAATGGCATTCTCAAACAGATGTTTGCAATAATGTAACATGGGTTATGTTTGCGGTGAGAAATGATTTGCATTTTGTGGAATCGAATCCAGTTCAGGCCACACTGCGATTGTGATTGGATTTTGAATGCAGTTCAAACTAGCACTGTTTGAGTGAAGCTTGAGTAGGTCAAAGTTCACAATTGGCACCCCTCTTCACAGCATCTATACATGAAAAGGGTAGGACTTGTTGCTTATGCCATATTATATATATAAACTAAAAGAATAAAAAAAAGATATTTGTGTGTAAAAAAAAGAGTAGAAAACACATGAGCAGGGTAATGCAGCAACCATCCACGTCTGTAACAAGATGATAAAGAGTCATAACGTGCGATAATAGGGCACAAAACTGACAGGCTACTGAGACATTCAGCGACCTGAGACCGAGCTCTAACACATCTCCAGTGCACAAACCAACAGCCTTCCAACTTGGAAGGTTCATGGTTACGTAGGACAGAAGAGGGGAAGGTTTGTGTTTGTGTGTGTGTGTTATCACTTTCAACTGCCCGCTAATGATAATATTATGATACTCTTCTAAACACTTCACATTCTTCTGTGCTGGCTAGGTCTCACACCGAGGAGCAGTACAAGCAAGCATGGACTGATTGTCAGTGTTCAAGTACAGGGAATCACCATGCAACACAGAACATGCAGTTTGTCCACCAACAAGTGCAATGTCAACTGATAGCCGAGTAGCAAGGTAAGACCAAGTTCAGCTGCAACTGAATCAGATAATTACATGTACACTCATTTGATGTATATTCACGATGTGTACAATCATGTTGTCCCCCAGGCCCCAGTACTTTCTGTCCTGTTCATTATACAGTCAGACCTCGTTTATCCGCTCCTCTTTTATCCCGATCCATCGCCATCCAGAAGAAAATCGCTGGTTACCGATGTGCAGTACATGTTACGCATACAACATAACCGGACCTCGCGATCCGCATACCGGTGCATGGTTTTGTGTACAAACTGGTTGAAATGTGCAGAAAAACTTCGCTAGTTGTACTGCACAGGACGCGTCTACATGTATGTACGATGCCACTCCTTTTGATATGCCACATGCATATACAGAATGTGTGTTCAGTTATCCGGTTCCCTCGCCTATCCGGATATTTTTTGTGGAAACGGATGTGTGCGGTTAAGCGAGGTCTGACTGTACTGCAATAGTTTGCCATACAATGTACGTCATGTGATAATACGTTGCTATGCCAATACCCCACTTATTAGGAAACCAGGCCACCTGCCTCGTAGTACTGCTCTTTTCTCTCCCAAACTCAATACATGTACTGTATAGCAGTCAATACATGTACTGTATAGCAGTACAGTACATGTATTGACTGCTATACAGTACATGTACTCTTGAGTACATGTACTGTATAGCAGTACAATACCTGTACTCAAGAGGTAATAACCCCCCAGAGTGTGCAACTCCCACATACCCTGCTGTCCCAACAGAATTTCAAGTTGACGTCATTATTTATGACGCAATGCTCCTTGCACCAGTGATTTACAACATGTGTACGGGTGTCAACGCATCACATGTTTTTCTTTGCAATAATTTGTACAGGATCTATCGGCTTCGGTCAACCACGGGTTCCGGATTCGTCTGATAATCCGTGTACAGCGCGCATTGCATCATCAAAATGACGTCAACTTGAAATTCTGTCGGGACAGCACCCATAGTGGAGTTGCACACTCTGGGGGGGGGGGGGGGGGTTATGTACTCTTGATGTACTGTATAGCAGTACAATACATGTACTGTATAGCCGATATATCAGGTTCGGCCTCATTTCCTCTGTGCTGCGCTGACGAGTCCACAAAGGACGAAACAGTTCTGTCCGCAGATTGAGTATTTCGCTCCTGCTCTTGTAGCAGTTGAGCACTCTTGCGTGGGGTAGTGCCTTTGCTGTTTGCGTTATGCAGAGCTCACTGACTTGTCAGTTTGAGCACTCTGGCAAGGTACGTTCGGGCCTGATTGGAAATTTTTATTTCCATTGCTATCAGGTTCGGCCTCATTTCCTCTGTGCTGCGCTGACGAGTCCACAAAGGACGAAACAGTTCTGTCCGCAGATTGAGTGTACTGTATAGCCGTAAATTTTCGGACGGAATTTATTTTCGTACGATTTCGTACACGGCTTCTTTTGTACTAAAATTAATTCCATAGCTCAGTGGTTAGAGCATCGCTGGCTACAAGCGAGGGTCCCTGGTTCGAGTCCTGGTGGTGACAGTCAATTTTTTCTTCAGACTTTTCCCGTTTGTCTCTTTCCCTCAAACCAGTTAATATTAATTCCGCGCTAAAATTTGTTCATTTGAAATTATGTACTTCAATAGCCCTTGGCGGATTATGCCGGCATAATATTTGGCATAATCTTGGGATTTCGTCAAAAAATTATGCTCCGGCAACGTGTAAGGTCGGCATAATCTTTCGGTTTAGACAAAAATTATGCTTAGGCCTTGTTAGGGGCATAATACAGCTTTGTCAGAAAGCCTGCAGATGTTTGTTTTTTAAATACCCCAGTTACGCTCCTTGTCATAGCCCTTGGCGGATTATGCCGGCATAATATTTGGCATAATCTTGGGATATGCCTCATTTCTCGTTGGCTGACGTAGGAAAGAAACGAGAAATCATCACGGTAGTTCTTGTTTTAGTTCTTTTTCTTCTTCCTGTTGCTGCTGTCCCCGCAGAGGCTGTTTGTTGTTGCTGTGTGCGTGTGTATGTGGGTGTGCATGTGACTGTGCATGTGACTGAGGTGTGTTAGGGGTGGTGGGGGGTGGCTGCACACAGGAGTGAGAAAGAGAGTAAAAAAGAATTCGTCAAAAAATTATGCTCCGGCATAATATACGGATTCCAGTGTGTAAGGTCGGCATAATCTTTCGGTTTAGACAAAAATTATGCTTAGGGCATGGCCGTGTGTGTATGCGTGGTTTCTCAATCCTCTATGTACAGTGTGAATACATAGTGGAACCGAGCATAATTAAGCATAATTCAGCATATTTGTTGGCATAATTGTGGCATAATCAAAAGCATAATTTGACGATTGGCCGAGCATAGTCCGCCAATGGCTATACTTCAAAGTACACTAGACATGATGTACATGATGACCTGGCTCCCGTTCAGGACTAGTGTGTGTGTGTGAAGTGGCGCATGCGCGCAGTGCAGTACAGCTAGCTACATTTTTTGTAGTCATAGCACGCATGCCATGTGCCTTGGCACGCGCGTACTGCATGCGAACACGTGCATTTAGCATGCACTGTACGAAAATAAAATTCGTGCGAAGGGTCGAAATTCGGCTTTGCCCGAAAATATTCCCGCCTGAAAATTCCTGCTATCCAGCACTTGCAAGCCAGATACGGAAGAAAGAAAAAAATCATCAATCACACCACCGGGACTCAAATCAGAGACCTTGCTATTCGCAAACAATGCTCTAACCAACTGAGTTACATGTACATCATGACTCAAGAAACAAGAGCGTTCAACTCCCGGATGGGTTGGCGAAACTTTTCGTTGACGTAATCTTTCCTACGGCGCACGCGCTGCGAGTCTTTTGGGAAATTTTGCCTCGTGCGCTTGGCCGAGCTCAAGGGCGACAAGGACGGTGCCCAGCGCGTGCCCTCACACTGCTCTGCGGCGAAATGCGCGGGCTCTGTTCGACATGCGTCATGTTTTCTGAAAAAGGTGACATCCACAAAACAAATCCGCCATGTGCCGGGGTGTCTGCAGATTGTGCAGAAGAAATGCGGAATTGCACGCTCTTGTGTATCTACTTTTGCTCTTATCTACGGTGAGCAGGTGGTCTAGTTTCCTAATGCTTTGAAATCCTACTTGAAGTCCAATAATATAATTTGAAATTTTTATTTGCGTTTGCTCACAGGGGACATAGTTTGATGCGCTCCCATTGATATCGAGCAAATGGCTGAGGACCCTCTTGAGTGGCGTGGGATGCCAGTACGCTTGTTGATTGATCTATCCTTCTTCCCCTGTGAACAAACGCAAACTTAAAGTTTCAAATTAAATATTTGGACTTCACGTAGAATTTCAAAGCAGTAGGAATCTAGACCACCTGTCTCGCACTGTTCTGATACTAGAGATAGATGGAGTCATACTGTAGCTCAGTTGGTTAGAGCATTGCTCGCGAATAGCAAGGTCCCTGGTTTGAGTCCCGGTGGTATGACTGATGATTTTTCTTTCTTTCGTATCTGGCTTGCAAGTGTTGAGTTTCAAACAGAAAAGACTTTGAACTTCTCCGTTATTACGTCCAAATTTGAAATACCCCACTTACTAGGGATGATCTTAGAGTCGTGTTTTCCTGCTGGTGTTTTTCTGCCTTGCCCAGACGGATATGTGGACGTCAGTGCAGAACGCCTTTGTGATGGGCAATGTAGCCTTGCAATTGCAGCTGGTGGTGCTTGTGGTAGGAGGCAGCCTCGGGTAGTCCCAGCAGAGAGTACATCATGCGAAGATCGAGTCTTGCTCACCCTCCGGGTGAATACCTGGCAGTGCAAGAAAGCTCCTTGGCACATCACACAATGTGGGTCACAAGAATGACGCACAGCAGAAATAAATCCATATACTGCCGCTTTCTCTTGCTGGTTGTGCTGCTGCAAGTATCAACCTGTTGTGAACTGTGTTTTCCTCTCGCCCTCTCCTCATCAAATATATTTTTATTGTGAACTAGCCTCTAGTTTGGCAGGTTAGCATCACTCTGCTCTTGTGGCTCCTTGTTCACAACCAGAGTCACCCACTCCCGACTGTCTGTCTTTTTCTCACACTGTGGTTGTCTGTTTGTCTCTGTCTGTCTGTCTGTCTGTCTGTCTGTCTGTCTGTCTGTCTGTCTGTCTGTCTGTCTGTCTGCCTTTCTCCCCTCTCTCTCTCTCTCTCTCTCTCTCTCTCTCTCTTTCTCTCTCTCTCTCTCTCTCTCTCTCTCTCTCTCTCTCTCTCTCTCCCCCTCCCTCCCTCCCTCTCTCCTTCTATATCTCTGTTCTATTTGTCTGGTGGTTGGCGGAGTTGGCAGAAACGCTTATCGATGTGGTGGATGGGGAGTGTGAGCACAAAGCCAAGTTGCATGCTTTACCCATATTTTTCTCAGGCATTAATTCTGTTCAAGGTCCACTCCTATATCCTCTGCTCATTTACAAGTTGCGAATATTTCCGAAGTCATAGAGGCAACTTAGGCCGACGGTTATGTAGGGCTTGAGGTGAGAGCTACCATCTTTTTAACGGCATGATGTACGTTTCCAAGGTTACTTTAACAACGTGCTGTCAAACACCGGGCCTCCTTATGTACTACATGCATCGTTACGAGATCAGCTAGAAAATTGTGTTGCTAGGCAACGGCCAAAGTGTTGGATCGAGTTTGACACTACTCGTGCAATGCAGTGCTTATGTTAGTGGCGAGTGTCGTATTACCATCGTGCTGTGGGATATCACAATACCGTTGTGATGTGGGATATCACAATACCATCGTGCTGTGGGATATCACAATACCGTTGTTCTGTGAGTATCATTGATAGATTTTTGAGCTACTCCTGGCTAGCGAAGGAGAAAATAATGAACTTCGAATTACAAGGATAGCAACTCAATCTCACTTCGAAATAAGCGTTCGAAGGACATAGCCAATGTACTGTAAACAGCTGTTCTGTACGAGGACTGGCTTCGAATTATCCAACCGGCGCACTTTTCGTTCTTCGAATTATGCATTCGAATTTGACTTGAAGTGACTTGCTGAAGATCGGTACGACGAAAAAGTTCGAATTACACGGAATGTTCGAATTATACCGTATTCGAATTAGAGGGAGTCTACCTGTACCATGGTGCTGTGGAGCATCGCATTCCCCCTTTGCTGTGGTGTATCACATTGCCAATCACTGATATCAGACCTGCACTACCGGACATATTGTGCTTGCCACCTGATGGCACAAATCAATTCAAAACATGTGCCCTACGGCTGGGGTAGGAGATTAGGAATGTACTTGTAACAGATGATGTGGCTGGTGTTAAAAATAATGAAGCCATGCTAGCAAGGGATACACTAGATTGTGCGGTAGGGGTCAAAGGGGTGCACTGGGTACCCGCCCGTTAATCTCAGGTACCGTTAGTAAAAGGGTACCCGTTTGTATTTCGATGATCCAGTCAGTACGGAACAACACTGCTGGGATCGAGCATTCCAGGCGGGAGTCAATTATTTACACAACTCCACGCTCGGTGTCCGCATTGCTTTTGCATTTTCGCAGCTAGTAGATCTACCTCTGCAACTATCGGACACATAATTATCAATTTGCAAATTACAATGTGATATCAAAATGCAACCTGAGAACAGCAGTACAGATTAAAATCTTGATTTCTGTGAAATTTGGGCAAACAATTAAACATGACCCCTACTGTGCGGCCACGTTGTTAATGGCAACCGTAGTCCGTGAAGCAGTTATGTCTACTGTGTACCAATTTGCAAGATTCAATTCTGATTGCTGAAGGAAAGTGTCTTGAGTCCACTGATTCAGAGTTATGTGTCATAAGCAATAGGTTTTGACTTGGCTTGCGGCAACTGGTCATGAGCTAACAATTCTACCTTGTCACACGTCGTTCTGTGAGAACCGGACCTATGGGACGGTGAGAAGGCAATCATGCCTGTGCTATTGGTGAAGTAAAATAAACGTCAACAACAACACGAATGCTAGCGGTGCCGCTGTGACTTGTGATCAAAACCTTTAAAACGTGTGTCAGTGATTCAAGGGTAATCAGAGCATGAACTTGTATGTACAGGGTATGCTGACACTGCTATGGCAATATACATTCGAGTATAAACATTTGTAGAGTAGAGTTTTCCAGGTTTAACTGACATAGCGGTAACTATTCTGTACAGTGACTAGTGTAAAAACAGTAGGTGAGAGTAGACATGAACACATTCAGTAAAACTGATACCACAGTACACTGGACTAGACAGTACATGTAGTTCAGTTCATCATTATATCTACATAGTAACACAACACTGTGTGTGTCATAGACAATCTGTATACATCATGTCTATACAAGTGATGTCACAGTGTTGTGATCAATGACAGGTAGTGTGCTGTTGGAGTATCTCTTACTGCAGTAGCTGCTTGAAATGATCCCTGTCCAGTGCTGGTCACTTTCACCAATCTCAACTGCTAAACACTATCCAGTAGAGATCTTCAGAAGCTCACCTAGCCCTGTAGAATGTACAACGGGGAATCGCGTATACACACACAAACACACACACACACACACACACACACACACACATGCATGTGCACACATACAGAGAACACACGTACATGTCGACACACATACACACAAACACACATGCATGCATGCAGATGCGCACACAGCTGAAGGAGTCCTACAAAAGTGACTCCATTGGTTATTGCCCCACCCAACAGCCACCACACTTTGCAATCCCCAACTCTGGCTGGACTGGTTATGATCTCACTCACAAAACCGCAGCAACCGGGCCGGTGAGACCAAGGTGAAGAAAGAGGTTGGCATGAGGGGATCCGCGTCCCGAGTTCCACTTGCATGTACCCCTGGCCCAGTGAAGTTAACACTTGATACTAGTGTGGGCTGCACATTGCAAACTCAGATTATAGAGAATATATGGTCCTGGAACAGTAATGTTCTTCTGTGAGTGCACCCACCAACCGAACTCAATGGTACAAGCATACAATCACCCACTCTTGAAGATGCACATTATATGTACACGCACACACACACACACACACACACACACACACACACACACACACATATACAGACACAGAAACTTGCACACACACACATGCACACGTGCACACATATGTGCACACGCAGACAACTGTCCCATGGAGCCATTGCCACAGGGTCACATGGAACCATGGTCCCATCATTGGCAATGCAGACATAGACGATTCGAACAAACCATGTTGTGACGCAGCCAAAACCAAAGATCTGGAGCAAATACCACTGTGTAAGCCTTCCCCTTCCACAGACACAGCTGTGGTTCTCTTGTACCGCATTTAAAGTACATGTTCTGACATGAAGTAAGCACAGTACACAGCACACAGTACACAGCACACAGTACACAGTACACAGTACACAGTACACAGCACACAGCACACAGTACACAGTACACAGCACACAGTACACAGTACACAGCACACAGCACACAGTACACAGTACACAGCACACAGTACACAGTACACAGCACACAGTACACAGTACACAGCACACAGTACACAGTACACAGTACACAGCACACAGCACACAGTACACAGCACACAGTACACAGCACACAGCACACAGTACACAGCACACAGTACACAGTACACAGTACACAGCACACAGCACACATTACACAGTACACAGTACACAGTACACAGCACACAGCACACAGTACACAGCACACAGTACACAGTACACAGCACACAGCACACAGTACACAGTACACAGTACACAGTACACAGCACACAGCACACAGCACACAGTACACAGCACACAGCACGCGCAGCAAACACTCACTCATGTGAGCCGAAGACAGCACTCTTAACTTACTGCGACATGCGACGTCTGAGTGCTGCCAGCATAGCACAGTGTTGGTTGTGTTCACTTAGGTGTTCATCAGTTTGACGATGTTTGCCACACAGGTAAGCCATGCCACAACGAGTACATGCTGTGATGTTGTCCAAGTCATAGCAGACAAAACATGCTGCTACACTTGGACACCATTCCAGTAGTGCAATGTGGTGATCAATGCTCACTTGGCCTCTCTTAGATTGACCATGCAGGGCAGCAATGAGAGAGATGTATAGTACAGGATTGTCCACAGTTGTTGGTGGTAAGTACACAATTCCAGACACTGAGAGACCAGTTGCACAATTGCTTGGCAGGCAAGCACTGACATCCTTAACCAATGACTTCAACGCTGGGAAGAGTTTGGAACTATCGACAGGTGCTAAGACAGTATTCTACAGCAAAACACACAGCAAAGGACAGTGCAAAGAGAACGTGACTGAAGCCCGTACAATCGAAACAGACAACATATCGCACAATACTGTATAGCAGGAAATTTTCGGACGGAATATATTTTCGTACGATTTCGTACACCGCCTTTTTGTACTAAAATTAATTCCGCACTAAAATTTGTTCATGCGACTTTACGTGCACTGTACATGGGTACTGCTTACGAACACGTGCATTTAGCATGCAGCACTGTACGAAAATAAAATCCGTACGAAAGGTCGAAATTCGGCTTTGTCCGAAAATATTTCCGTCCGAAAATTTCCTGCTATACAGTAATTACTAACCAGGCTGATATAGCCAAATGCAACGCGTTCCATATCCATGGTTACCATGTTTTAGAAGTTTTCACATTCTCCTGTGTGTTCACCAAGTAATGAGGTTTAGTGAGACAGACACTATACCGTAGATCAATACTGAGTACACTGTGTTGCAGTACACTGGGTTCTTTCAGAATGGAGTGTGGGGTGTGGATGAAAACTAGGGTAAGGATAACGCTGCACTACCAGCTTACCTCGAAAGTTAGCAGTGCTCTAGCCGTCAGAATACAAGACTGCATCACTTCCACATCAGGTACCCTGTTCTGGCTACAGTTGTTAATCAGTGCTGCTGTGTTATCTGCTGGATTTGAGCCATGACACCATCTCCTGACATAGTCCATCACAATGTTGTAGGGATGCTGTGCTGGTAGAATGAGACCCGTTGGAGTTGTGCGCGCCCTTCCATTTACTACCAAGGATATGTACTGGATGTTGCACATATCATCCAAGTACACGTCCATTAGTGTGGATACTGTGTCATTATCCATGCAGTGCAGGTACTGTTGTAAATGTACAGCTGCCACAGTGGTATAGTCGTCATTGGTTTCGACCGAGCGGCTGATAGCAGTTGGTACATGTTTCCATTCGCACAGTGGTATACCCAGTGTTGAAAGCAATGATAGTGAAATAATCCACTCACTGCTACAGCAACTTGACATAACCTTGCCCAGGATCGTACCAATGCACTGTTGCAGAAAACTGAACATTATAGCACATGACGTGACTGCACCATCCTGTGATAGGAAGTATGATGACATCACTCTCTCAGCAAGGTCTTCTACCGCCTGCACATTGGGTATATCCTTGTTGAGCAGAGTGGAACAATACAGTTGAATGAGTTTCAGGGCACATTCAGTGACACCTGTTGCAAGACCCATTCTCAGTGTTGTTGTAAGACGCAGGTACACTACCTGAAGACGGGATAGTGTTTCGTGGCTGAGCTCAGCTTGTCCTTCCCTGCTGCCCATGGTCAGAGATATGGTTATCCTGCATGACTCCAGAGAAAGTTGAATCAATGTCAGCAGCAGCTGTGACTGCTCTCCTGTTGGTTCCTGTTTACATTTCTCCAGAAGCTTTTGAGCTTTGAGATCCAAATCGTCGAAATTGCTGTCCGAACCTGCTGCTTCGCCTGCACAGGTAATCATACACAGGACTGAGGCACAAAGGCTGCCAACTTGAACGGATAGCGGTGCCTTGTCCAATGTTTGAACCCTTTCAAAAAACGCTGCAAAAACCGGCGCTGTCCCTAACAAAGCCACACCCAAACCACGGCATGTTGCTAATCTAGCGAAAGGAAGAAGTTCATCATCGGGCAATAGATCCACAACTGACAACGCATTCTCCATGTTCACCCTTTCCTGAAGCAGTTGGTAACTCCAATACATTGCTTTGTCTGCACCACAACCTCTACAGTCATCAACTTCCTTCACAAAGCCTAGGAAATGCTTGCACATTCGCCGTTGGTACATGGATTGCTTGTTTTCTGGGCATTGGTAACGACCAAATTCGGCGATGAATGGTTGCAAAGAGTAGCGATCCAAATACAAATTGTAATCCAGGAAACAAATCTTGATCAGAGGATCAAAACGTACAAGATGAACCACATTGGCATCAGTTGCAGGCAAACCCACCATCACACAAGCGCAATCAGATGAGAACGAGGAGCGTAGTTGAGCTAGAGCATGGAATGAGTCCTTCTCATCCTGCTGTAATGTGTTGTATGCTATTGTCAACAGCTTCAGGATTCGATGATTCGGTTTCAGAACATCGTCGTTGAAGACATCAAGACCAATCTTCTTGAACACCGCCAGCAACATGGTTGGAGTTAATCGACCACCTTGTAGAAGACCAGCTGTAATGCGTACAGCAAGTGGAACATTTCCACAATGATCCACTAACCTTTGTGCATCTTCAATGCTCACACTACCTTCAACACATAGACCATGGAGAAGGCCAACAGCACAGACCTTTGTCAGACCATCAAGACGGTGTTGTTGTAGTTTAAACTGGGCAGCGTGTAGGTCAAAGTAAACACGACTTGTCAGTAGGACATGTACGCTGTGTTGTTGGCGCAGTAGTCGCTGGATGACATCTTGTAGTTGGAAATCCTTATCCGCATTGGCCTGGATAGCATCCTCGGCATTGTCCAGAATAACTAGCATGTGGTGTTTGCTACCATGATCATCCATGCCATCAGTTGATTTTGTTGCCTTGCCAGTAGTTTCAGATGAAGCTGGGTTTGTTTCGAGTCGGTTTTGAATCATTGCCTGGACAGCCTCAACACCAGCTACACCGCGTAAGTCAAAGAACTCCACACGATAACCAGCATTGCGACATACATGTCCAACAGCAATGGCTACGGACGTCTTACCAAAACCAGCTGGTGCCGCAAGACTCTGCACTCGTGTAGATGATGACTTGGACTTTGTTGTGAGAATGTTGTGACTGATCTTTGTAACAATGTCATCCCTGCCAGTGAAGTGCTCGTCCAGGTCTGGTAGAGATGAGTTGCTTGAATGTGATGATGTTTTTGAAACCTGAGGTGTAGTTAGTCTAGTACTCATTGTTGTACCCATACTAGTTGCACTGCTTGTTGCTAAAGCTGATGTTGCTTCTTTGTCTGTTGCTGTATGTCTACTGCTGGAGGACAGTTGTTGATCAGTCTCACTACCTCCCTCTGTGTGGACTGACTGTTGTGTTTTCTGTTGTCCAGGCATCATGATGGTAGCATCTACCAAGATAACAAGTAGAGAACAGAACTACAGTGAACGTAGAGTCTGTACGAGTAGAAATCTGTTGTGACCCTGTATACATAGTTCATGCACCTCTCATCATTTCTGAACTCTCTTTTTTACTAGACCTTTGCACATACATTCGTCCCTCTCTAATCCGGCACTTGTTTATCCAGCACCCTTGCAAACCAGCACTCTTTCCTCTGTGTGGACCTCTGTGTGGACTGATGGTTGTGTTTTCTGTTGCCCAGTCGTAGTCATGGTATTACCTACCAAGACAAAAGGAAGTGGACACAACTACGATGAATGTACAGTCTGTATGAGTATTAATCTGACATGACCCTGCATAGATAGTACTTCTCGCCAGTATTTCACTCTCTGCGCATTCACTATCGCATGCAGTATAGCCAAACTGTCACATGCCTCTACCAAAATGTTTACCCATCTTCATGACATTGGTCCACTTCTATTTCCTTTCCTTTTGAACACTATAAGTCAACCTCTTGCTGGCGCTCTTCAATGTGTTGCCTCAGTGGAATCTTCATTAAAACAGAACTCACATCCACTACTAGTATCTGAGAATTTATCTCAGTTGTCTCATTGTCTTTCTGACTGGCTTGTTTCATTTTGACTTTCTGCACCCCAGTGTGCCGCTTGCTTGTGCTGACCTCTATTCTTTCTCCGTATGCTGCTGTCTGCTCGACCTTTCTTTTCGCAGCTAGCTCTCTTTGGACTTCAGCTCGTGTAAGGACTTGAATAGGCTTTGCTGATAGGAATTGCGCCGCCGCTCAAGCAAAATCGGCCGATTTAGCCGGGTTTGGCCTTTGCAGTTTCTTTCTTTTAAATTTTACTCAGGGGTGTCATCGGGTAGTAGGGTACCCATGCTACCCGTAATTAGAGCGGGTATTCCGGTAGCAATTTGCTCCTGAGACCTCGATCGGGTAGTTGGAGTACGGTGTTTTGGCAAACGTACATGTACACAGCACAGCTACGCACTTTCTATGTAGAGCAAGCGCGCACTCACTGTACAAACTACCGGTATGTCCAAAATACCCGACAGGGTACCCGTGCTACCCGGATAGAGAATTAGAAATACCCTTACCCGTTACCTGAGCAAACCCTTACCCGTTGCAGTCCTAGTTATATTTACTGTTTCTCAAGTCTTTCTACTTTTACTATACCGGACCTGAGGACTCTGCCACACTGATTTCTCTGTGCTTTGGGTTTGAGGTACGCTTCAGTGGAATGACCAAGAGGCGCTTATATACTTTGTGCCAATGGTCTTGGGATAACTAACACATACTAGTAGGGATGATAAGCTGGCCACAACTCTCTCTCCCTCCCTCCCTTCCTCCCCCCCCCTCCCTCCCTCCCTCCCTCCCTCCCTCCCTCCCTCCCTCCCTCCCTCCCTCCCTCCCTCCCTCCCTCCCTCTCTCTCTCTCTCTCTCTCTCTCTCTCTCTCTCTCTCTCTCTCTCTCTCTCTCTCTCTCTCTCTCTCTCTCTCTCTCTCTCTCTCTCTCTCTCTCTCTCTCTCTCTCTCTCTCTCTCTCTCTCTCTCTCTCTCTCTCTCTCTCTCTAAGAGGATGTACGTTCCGGAATCAAAATGTTACCACATGTAGTATTCTGTGCCAGATGGTGCCGAGGAAACCGAGGTGCTCCCTCAGATGGTATTGGTCACCTGGCCGAGGAAACCGAGGCGCTCCCTTTGTTCTATATTCCCAGTTGAACTAGCACCGTAATACACTTTCCCCAATGTTGGAAGAGTGCTCTCTACTACATCATATTAGTAGATAGTGACTTGTGTGGATATTTCCAAAGAAAACACCTCTTTACAGAAAAGAAAAAGGCCCAAGGAACTACAAGTTACGCTAAAATGTCCACTAACACCACCAGTTACTAAACAATCAGAGCGTAGAATGTCAGTACCGTCGGTCAGTGTCGTGCAATGCTATCACATGAGCTGATTGTTTAGTAACTGGTGGTGTTAGTGTTGTGTGGATATTTCCAAAGAAAGCGCCTCTTCATATTTATAGAAGCCGATGCATACTGGCCGACCCTCCCGGTTTTCCCGGGAAAATCCCGGGAAATCCACACTACTCCCGGGGTCCCGGGGATTTCAAGCAAACTCCCGGAAAAGTCACAGTTTTGTCTGATACAGGATTTTCCTGAAAATTCCATGGATTCTCCTCGAATGTCCCGGTATTTTCAAAAATATGTACGGTGCCCACTCGTACTTCGAACCAGGGAGTAGTACTACTCCCTGCTTCGAACTGTGCACGGCACTTTCAAGATCTGCACTGACTGGCGGGCGCCGACTGATCGAACTTTTTGATTTATTTTTTAGGTTTGGTTATATTATTATACTATCACCGACTGATCGAACTGCACTGCATGCAGGGTCGAACTGCACTGCATGCAAGGTCGAACTGCACTGCATGCAGGGTCGAACTGCACTGCATGCAAGGTCGAACTGTGCTGCATGCAAGGTCGAACTGTGCTGCATGCAGGGTCGAACTGTGCTGCATGCAAGGTCGAACTGCACTGCATGCAGGGTCGAACTGCACTGCATGCAGGGTCGAACTGCACTGCATGCAGGGTCGAACTGCACTGCATGCAGGGTTGAACTGCACTGCATGCAGGGTCGAACTGCACTGCATGCAGGGTCGAACTGCACTGCATGCAAGGTCGAACTGCACTGCATGCAGGGTCGAACTGTGCTGTACGAGTACGCAGATCTGCAGAGTCGAACGTTTTTCTTTTGGCGGGAAAAGCTCCTTTTCACTTGTTTTTGTGCCATCCAAGGATTTTGAGAGAAATCCAGGGATTCTGCATGTCTTGTCAAGGGACTGAGATTTTGGTGGTTGGTCAGTATGCCGATGATGTGCTTAAACTCTCAGAACCTGTAGCGTTTTGTACTCTAAGTTGTATGGTATTGGTCCTAGCAGGCTTGCTGAACAGCGTACGGTTCCTATTCCCAATCCAACAAGATCCCGTAGTGATACATGCACCAGTCGCCGTACCAGTGCAGTGCACTGTGTACTGTGAACGCATACACCTGTATACACAAGTGTGCATATGAACTTCTTGTGAGTACCGTATTTCCCCGTAAGTTAGTACGTACTAACTTTCGAACTTAGCAGCCACATGAGTACTAACTTTCGGGGGTGGTACTATCTTTCGGGGAGTACTTTTTTATCGGGGGTAAATGACACGCAGTGGGAAGCCTGCGCAACTCTAGTGTCCGTGCATATGATGTATGTACTGTGTACGGTGTCTGTACATGTAGGACGGGTACGAACTTTCGGGGGGAACTGCCTTTCGGGGGGAACTGCCTTTCGGGGTGATAACCTCGGCAGTGGAAAGTGTATTTTTTATAGGGGGGTACTAAGTCAGTGGGAGAACTTACTTACGGGGAAATACGGTATCCGGGTGGAGTGACCTGATGACACAGCATCCCGCATTTACTAGGTTTGTGTTCCTCGCCAAACAGTGTGCTACCGCAAATTGAATACTTTACTGTGCATTACATACACATGCTGTCCACTATCCACTATCCGCTGTGCACTATCCACTATCCACTATCCACTATCCGCTGTGCACTATCCACTATCCACTATCCACTATCCACTATCCACTATCCACTATCCATTATCCACTATCCACTGTGCACTACCCACCAGTCATTGACAGGTTCATAGAGTAGGGTTATCCAGAACGAAAGTGAGGGGGGGGGGCGGGATCGCCGGACCCCAATGTTTGTGATTTGTATCCTCTATTTGTGCTGCCATTCGGGCTCCTACTTTCAGCAAACAAGCGACCAACTTCTTCGAATGGCATATCTCTCGCTTGCATACGATAAGCCAAGCTTCCCAATTGTGTGATTCATGTTGCCATAGCGACCAACGGAGTGATGTCTGATGACGCACATTCTGCTTAGCTCCGCGCGAGAGAAGGTCGATTACTGCAGAAAGTGTGCCATTAGGGGCCGTCCGTAAATATCGATGTTTTTTTAGAGACGATATTGGTGCGTCTGGGGGGGGGGGGGGGGGTTGAGCCATATGCGTCTTTTCGAGCATCAGAAAAATATCGATGTAATTATCTGAAGTTTCGCCGATCCCTGCACGCGGACGTCTAAATGGCTATACAAGAAATGTGAAACCAGCTTCCGTTCGCGGAGCTAAAACTCGCGACACAAGAACAAAATCAAAAATTGGAAGCTGTACGCCCATGGCGAATTTCAAGAGCAAAAGAATGAGCTATTGATTGTGGAAATCGGCCGAATGATGCCTGCAGGAGACCTTTTTCAAGACGTAGAGGCAGTGCGAACAAACACGGACATACTATGGGCTAATGCAGCACAAGAAGGCTGCTGGCCACAAGTGTTCTCGAGGGCGACCAAAAAAGTCATAATGCTCTCCTTCTCAATTAGACCATATAAATACTGCAAACTTGCCATCTTGGGTTCATATTATTGACAAAAAAAGGAAAAAAAAGGAGCATCCAAAAATATTGATTCCATGATCTAGATGTACATGTGCGTCTTCTGGGGGGGAGGGGGGGGGGTCAAGGGAGAGAAGCACCAATATCGTCTCAAAAAAAACATCGATATTTACGGACGGCCCCTGGCATTATGGATCATCTTCTATGTAAAAACTTACCGGAGGGCGAGCCACGTGTTGACTCGCGATCTGCCGACATTGGCTTCGCGGCGCGGCGCTTCGCCATGGTACTGGCGACATGTTCCGCTACATCACGTTGGCTGTGTTCAACTAGTTTCAGGAACGTATCCACCTGTTCCTCCGTTTTCTTCAGCATCAACCTCACCACATACTTTGCCAGCTCCAACTTTTCATTTTCCTTTCCAGAGGCAGTATCATATTCCTGTTCGCTGAGGACATCGTTCTCCAGCAGGTCCTCCAAGATCAGTGACACATCTAGATTGGATACCAAGTACTTGATATTGTACCGCACACTGTCCGGCATCGCGCCGTCAGCAAAACCCAGCGTCACAACCTCAGGGCCTGCTGGAGAGCCGGGTCAGCCGGGTCACGCGCCCGGCTGGGGAACTGCACGACCTGGCTGAACAGATAACACCGGGTCCAGTCTGACCCGGCTGAAAAAATGTCTCAAACTGACAATGGATTCCTAAAATACGGGTGAACTTTTACGACTCGCGGACCCCATCTGTTGCAAATCTAGCGCAACCGTACACCATGGTAGATCTACACACTACAGTCTACCATGGTCTACAAGCGACAGAAACTCGGCTAGGGTCAACTGGGGTCAACTGGTTCGAGCGCGATCTGGCCAGCGGCGAGCAGGAAGTCAGGACATTCAAAGTCGATGGGGCAGGCAGTCAAAAGCGTATTAAACTAACTTTGGCGGGGTGCTTTTGACACAGTGGCAAGTTTTCAGCCGATTGGTGATTTGGACGATGGAGCCCGCAGCGAAGAGAAAAAGAACTCACGCTTTCCAAGACTCTTGGAAGAAAGGTCGACCCTGGCTGGACTACGACCATGTCAGTCTACTAGTATCCATGTCATGCGCTTTGTGCAAGACGCATTTCCAAAGGAAGACGGGCGGCGGTGGATTTGGTCGCGAGGAAGCAGCCACTCCACAAGGTGCTGCAGGCACCCCCCAGTGCTCTAATATGTGAACATGTTCGTCCTGCTAGCCTGCTACTACTTAGAACTAGTACTAGCACTGATTGAAAAACAGAATTCCTTTTTTTTCAAATTGTTAAATCAGAATCCAATGGAACTGCTTTACATTATTCACGTAATGTCGTTTACCTTCTACGTTTGCGGACTTTGATCGTTCGCCTTGTTCTCTAAAATGTCCGATTTCCGGCAGTAAATTCGCCTTTCTGTTTTCCTGCGTTTTGAGCAGGCTTTTGGTTGTTTTTCTGCCGGATAATCTGACCCGGCTGGCCTGCATGCGCCAGGTACACTCTGACCGGGCTGTGTTGAATGTCTAGAGCAGGCCCTGAACCTACCACTCCGCCACAGTCTCTGTCCACGCCGGCTTCACTGGCTGGCATGAACTGTTCTGTCCACAATGAACAATGGAGAACACCGCACACAACTACACGACTGAAACAAATCACCAGCAACCATCCGACAGAGAAAATGCGCCGAGAAAAATAATGATCTACCGGAACGGCACCTGGGCCTGAGTCGTGAAAACCCTGAAAACCGTTTCGCGACTCCCTGCATGCAGGCCTGCTACTTTGTCACGCATGCGCCCTGTCGCGGCGCGTTGGATTTGGAGTACGTCTTGCATGGAAGACGAGACGTTTGGTGGTGGGTCGGCATGGCAATGGCAGTTGTGTTCGCTTTTCTCGCTTTTGCTTCAGTTTCACCCATTTTCGCCCAGCAACCGGTGAAGGAGGCCGATGCGGCCATTGGTGATGGCGAGTTTCGGATGATCGTGGATGCAAGTACAGGTCATGATCCGACGAAGTCCGAAGTAGATCAGTGGCTGGCTGGGGGTGAGCCAAACCAAGCACCGATTGGCAGCTTGGAAAACCCATTCAAACAAATCCAGACGTGTGTGAATGTTCAACATCAACTCTGCCTGCAATGGTCCTTATCAAGGTCAACTGGAGGTAGGTTTGGAACCGGCCCACCTACCGATGATGATAGCAACGGTGATGGCGGACATGGATGGCAGACTGATGGCTGGCAACAAAGTCATCACATCTGTGCCGTGCGCACTGGAACATACCGGGAAAGTGTGAGTGTGAGTGACTGGCCAGAACAGTGTTCGTTACGAGTAGAGGCTTACAACAATGAACTGGTAACGACGGTGTTGGTGAAGGGAACGGCCGATATATCCAACCTAACCTGGCAGCCGTACAAAGGCAGCATCATGATGGCCAGCTTGCCTGACGAGTTCATCGCTCAGCATCCAGAACCGTTCCAGCAAATTTTCCACAATGAAGTGATGATGATGGAAGCGAGGTGGCCAAATGCCAAGCTGGAAGACATGTTGTCACCAACGGCCTGGTCCAGAACGGAGAAGGGCAGCGTGTACGGAAGAAGTGAGTGGTGTCAAGATACGCAATGCACTTTGGCATCAAGTCGAGTCATTCTGTAATCGCCTAGATCGTGACAGAAATTGGGAAAGGGAACTATACTGTAGAGAGCGAGGGAGAAAGTCTGGATGGGGAAAGGAGAGGGAGCATCTATGCAGAACCCAACGTGCCGTGGAGTGGCGGAGCCGCTGTGGAAGTTGGCCCCGAACCTCACCAATGGCAATAATAATATTCGCTGTCCTGAAGAAATAATTATTATTATATTTCTTCAGGACAGCGAACTCCTTCATGCTACTGTTTTGTGAGGCAGGCGTACCGGTAACCTTACCCCCCCCCCCCCCACCCCGTGTTTCAATAAGTATTCGTTTTGAAAAAAGGTTATTCAGAAGGCTAGCAGGAACGTTCGGCCATTGGTAACTGATGGTGATCATATTATTATCAAATTAATATTATCACATTTTTGATAGGGCAATCCCCACAAGCCAGGGCATTCTCCAAAACACAGTTGTGCTCTGAGGCCAACACCATACCGCAGTGACGCGCATTGAAGCGCACATGCCTAGTATATCCGGGCATAAGCGCACCCTCACGTATAAGCGCATGGGCTTACAATTGAACCCAACCCCGCGACACACGGACACCACTATGATACCGTCTTCACACGATTTAATGTGCAATTTTCAAATGGGAGGTACCGTATTTCCTCGATTAATAGACCCGGTCTGTTGTTTTTTGAAGAGGGTTGGACCCCTGGTCTCTTATTTGGGCATGGTCCATTATTTGAGCATGGTCCACTATATTTTCATCGGCACATCGCTGGAAATGGTGGAATTTTAACACATCATAATATAGAAGTTCTATGCCGATGGTCCTATAGTTCTATGCCGAAGAAAATATAGTGGACCGTGCTCAAACTCAAATTATTAATGAAAGAAAGCACTAGCCACTACAAAAATTGTAGTTGCGCAACCTAAAATCGCATCCTTTTTTGATCCACCACGTGCTTTCTTAGTGCGCATGCGCAAAGCGATGAACTCAAATAAGAGACCGGGTCTCTTATTCGGGCATGGTCTACTATTATTATTATTATTATTATTATTATTATTATTATTATTATTATTATTTCACAATCACGATGACATAGTGCCAATAAGCATGTGATGCGGGCGATTTTAACCAGCCATGGTGGGGACAACTGAGAAAAAGAAGGAGAAGAAAAAGAGAAAAGAAAAGAAAACAAAAGGAGTACTATAGGAACCTGGAGAGAGCAGTATGAAGATTAGGCTAGCAATGGAAAACAACGAATTCAATTCAATTCAACTTAGGCGCGGGCAGAAGGGAACAAAATGCAGCGAAGGTGTCACGAGACTTTACCTCCTGCGGAAGCCGAGACCAATGAGAATAGGACTTGAACAGAGGGGATTTTAAAAGGATCGTTGACCTGGCAAGTGGGAAATGGAGAGAACATCTAGTACGCGAGCTATTATTGAACCAGCTTAAATGCGCAAGTGCATGAGGAGGAGCAAGTTGAAGCTTAATACGGTGAATGAATTTGCATGCCGAGTGGGGGAAGCGTTCTGAGAGAGGGGAAGAGGAAGCCAAAATGTATAGCGTCTGAGAGGAGGTCAGAGGGGGCATGCGAAATATTAATCGAAGTAATTTACGGTGGGTGACTTCTAACCGATGCATAAGAGCGGAGGATAGACCAGAGGACCAAACGAGAGAGCAGTAATCAAACAAAGGAAGAACATAAGAGTGATAAATTTGTATTCGACAACCATGGTGTAGATGGACTATTTTTCCGTGAGGCCTCTAGGAGGGTCTACTATTTGAGCATGGTCTGTTATTCGAGCATGGTCCATTAATCGAGGAAATACGGTATGCATCTATGATGGCCGTCACCTTTTTGCGGGGCAAGTTACCCCATACTTGGCAGGTACAACCCGTTATAGTACATTTATGTGTATGACCTCACAAAGTTCATGACCTTTTATTCAGAGCTGGTATCACAGTGTGTACAGCTGTAGTGGACTTGCCCCGCAAAACCTAATGGCGGGAAATCGATGCATACGTCCCATTCCATGCTGGTAACTCAAATACAAGCGCATGCGCATGGATGTGAGACAAATTGACCTTCAAATAATTTCTAAGATTCCCAAAACTCGCGTATAAGCTCATGGGCTTAAATGTGAGTCACTACGGTGTCATCTTACAAACAGCAACAGGTTTCGTCAGGATAATGAAAGTCGAGCTGGAAGGTTTTTGGTTTGCGCTTCGCAGAAGTCTTAGAGTTTGGTCATATGTCAGGTTGTTGAAAGTCTCAGTAGCACTTCAGTACCCCTGTCAGTGGTGTGCTTATACAAGTATATTGTCGCACTATCTGACTGTGTATTGTCTCGCTACCTTGGTGGACTGTTGATCAAAACCCGTAACATTTTTGGTCCTTCCTCTTCTACATAAATATGATTGGCTTGCCATCTGAGCTAAATATAACTCGGATAATGAGCCAGTAGTAAATGTAAAATAGAAGGTGAAAACTAGGGCTCAAACGGTCACGGTTTTACCCCTGACGGTTAACTGCTAAGCTAACGGTCGGTTAACCGGTTGTAACCTATAAGCCACGGCAATCCTGCGGACTCGTATATTTGACTGTACTCATTCAAAAAATGTACCCTATTCAGTACAATGCACATTTGTACATTCTCTTGCATGCTCATTCATACATACTCTCACACCAAGAGACCAGATATTGTAGTATCCCTGCCCGACCAATACGGAAGCAGTACGGAACTAATACGGAACGACCTTATGTTGTATCTCCGCATATAAGCGTACGGCGTCTGCTGCATAAAAGCGGCTGCGCATTTCTGTTTTGAAGAAGATTAGATTAGATTGGATAGCAATGAAAGCTAACTCGAAGAATAAGGATTCAGCCTCTAGGTGAGCACCGGAGAGAAAGTTATTTATTTTGCCGCTTCTTCTTTCACTAACAATTATATCTCAGGTGTGTACCTGAAAGTAGAATAAAAGTAATTCTTGTTAATTGCACCGCGCCTACCACTCGGCTACCCATTACATTGGTGGCAGCGGTGTGTTTTAGAACAACGTGATTCGACCCCAGACTACCATGGCGATTCTAAGCGACCTGCTACCTTCATGAATACTACCGGTGGTGATGTCGAAGCTGATGAGGACGACAACAAGCAGGCTGCTGCCCAAGACAAGGAGGGTATTCCCTAAGACCACCAGCGTTTGATTTTCGCCGGCACGCAGTCGGAAGCAGGAGCCCACTCGTCACTTGGTACTTCGTCTCCGTGATGGGATGCAGATTTTCGTCAACACTCTTCCTGGCTAGACCATCACTCTTTACGTCGCGCAAAGCGATGCTATTGACAATGTGAAGACCATGACTCAAGACGAGGAGGGAGGTTATTTGTCTGACGCCGAGCTAGCCGCTCTGAGTGACCGGCTCAACCAAGATGACGATAAAACCTGGCTCGCCCTCCGCCATAGCTCCAGCCGCCGTGGTTACTAACGCTGATTCCAGGTATGGCATTTTCTTTCCTGTCTTCCTTCAGTCTCCCTGTTCTTTTCAGTCTTCCTTTATGCGAGTGTGTGAATCCAGTTTAGTTTGGTAGGCGTCTGATCATGGTGAGCCACGGCTTACCCAGCTAACGTGGGACAATGTGTGTGACAACGCCCCTTATAGTTATAGTGTATTCAGTTCGGTTTTTGGACTGCGATGTTCCTGGCGGGTTGTGCCAGCGTAGTGCAGCAAGAGTGCTGTGGTTTCAGGTCCTATTTGAGGACAGTTCTTTCCCTTTTGACCCCGTGAGATCGTGTGACCCTGGTGTGCTTCTACTTTATGATTTGTTATCAGTTCATTTCTTCTGTCTACTCTAAACGTTTTCATTTCCGATATAATTTGCCATCTTCCGGTTGACGCTGTGTTCGTAACTCTTCACTAATTTTTTGAAAATCACGAGGGCGTGATTATCTGTAGGAAGGGAGGGTGTAGTATCCCTGCCCGACCAATACGGAAGCAGTACGGAACTAATACGGAACGACCTTATGTTGTATCTCCGCATATAAGCGTACGGCGTCTGCTGCATAAAAGCGGCTGCGCATTTCTGTTTTGAAGAAGATTAGATTAGATTGGATAGCAATGAAAGCTAACTCGAAGAATAAGGATTCAGCCTCTAGGTGAGCACCGGAGAGAAAGTTATTTATTTTGCCGCTTCTTCTTTCACTAACAATTATATCTCAGGTGTGTACCTGAAAGTAGAATAAAAGTAATTCTTGTTAATTGCACCGCGCCTACCACTCGGCTACCCATTACAATATGACCGAGTTGACAGCCCAGAAATTGCGTAGACCCGGGTGCTCGAATCAGAAACGATTTGACAGGTGTGAAGTTTCTCATCTGTAAATCTCAATAATGTCAGAATATACTTTTGGAGAGGCGATGGAACAGGGAAGAGAGTCTGGCTTGACCCACCCAGCAGGAATTCAGAACCTGGGTGCGCTACAACACAAGCTACAGTACGCAGTAAAATTGTCGTATTTCCTTCGGATTTTTTATTCGAAAATTGGGTGCTCGAATCAGAAACAGCGAACTCGTCAGATCGTCTCCGATTCAAGCACAAGGGTCTACCATCGTCTACGCTTGGTGTGGCAGTTGAGGGCAGGGAGTAGTAACTTACTACTTCATTTTTGAGAGCAAGATGGTCAGTGGAGCCGCAGATTCAGCAGGTCTTTGGCAGCACCGTACAGTAGACCCATATCCTCGAATCAAGGACCCAGCAAAAAGTGGGTCGCGAGTATTTCATAAAGCGTTTACCGGGCAGCGCTGAAACTTGGCATACCGTTAGCTGTATGTTGATGGTATTTGTGAAAACTAAACGAAATCGGAACAAGTTTAGGTACAATTTCAGGGTGTTTCTGTTTTGGTACCCTGTGTCTCATTCGAGCACCCGGGTCTACGCGTGCGACAGCCTGCGAAAGTG